TGTAGATATTATACTATATTGTACATTATTACCTACCAATTATAATCTATTTATTTTTATAGTCTTATTCATTAGTACACTGCACTTATCAAATCCGTAGTGCACACTTCTAATTTCGGACTACACACTTTGTGTCGGGGTTCAATAAAAAATAGGGCTTGGTATATCTACATAGTACATATTATTATGTAGTATACTAATATTACACTAAGTATACATAAAATTAAAAAATAATTTTTAAAAATGAAAATCTTTTATGATAGGTACCTACCAAAAATAAATTGTTTTCAGTTACATTTTAACAAATTGATATTTACTTCTCTACATTGAATCGCTAATGAACTATTATGAAGGTTGGATACCTTTAGTTATTTCTGTGTTATGATTTTGACTCTCTTAAATTTATAAAAAGTTATGCCCCATATTTTAGTGAATAATATAATATCAATTTAAATTTATATTCTTGGTCCTCTTTGTCACTGTGTCATAATAGCATTGTAAATAAAGTGTGTAGTACGAATTTTTTTGAAAAATAGGGGCTGGCTTGAACCAGGCCTATGCAACTCCCCAACCAATTTACACAAATCAGTAGTGCTCTTATTGTCGGGTCCCGCTCTGGTGGCCCGCTCTAGAGGTAATTTGTAGTTTAATAATTATTTATTACTCATTCAAAGGTAAACCATATAGACAAACATTTTTACTATTATATAATAGTAATTATTATTTAAAACATTAAAACCTAACAATTAATATTATACTAAATACTTATAGAGGCTATAAAAGTACAAAACATTATAATCTAAAAATTAAAAAAAACATTATGAAATGATTAAAAATACCAAGTATTAACACACGGTCTTAGATTATTAGGTCTGGCAACTAATCCCCGGTTATGAAGCTCTTATTGACGGGTCCCTCTCTGGTGACGACGTCTACCGGCCAAGTACCGTATTATTACTATTTCGACGAATGTCGACTAAAAAACTTAATCAAGACTGTGGGCGTAACGATCCATTGAATATTATTGGCAATATTTTGCTCATAGTAATAATCTATGAGCCTATGACTGTAAAATATCGCCAAAATATACAGACCCACGTTATTGGCACTTTGTCCTTATAAAGGTCTAAAAGTAGTAACTATTTAAGTACCTACTAAAGTTCTATATGTATACTTTATAAAAATGACACGAAAATGTGCTGTATGTAATTGTACCACCAACGGAGTACCTACATTTCGTGTAACACAAGATCGGTTGAAAAGTTGGGGAGTAGTTATAGGTAAAATTTTAAAAATTGGGGATAGATTATGCCAGTCACATTTTACCGAAGAGTCTATTAAAACAGTAGATATTATGGATAAAAAATCTAATAGAACAGCAAAAGTAAGCAAAAATGAACATACCAGTAGTGTTGTACATAATTGAATGTAATATTATTTAGTTAGCTTAACAAGTAGTTTTTTATCAAACAATATTTTGTATTTCTTATATAACAATTTAACAGTATTCAACATAACATTTAACATTTTAGCATTTATTACAATAGAAATTTGTGTAAATTGGTTGGGGAGTTGCATAGGCCTGTATTAACATCTAAAATATCCAGAATCTAGATCTTACAGGTGAATTAATGTAAGTACCTACTATTATTATTATGTTTTACAAAATGATGATCATCGTTTTTTTTTTTTCTAATTTTCTTTAGATTTATCTTGATTTGACTGTCTGGTGTACTGTCGCATTACTTATGTGGTATTGTATCGAATAAGAAATAATGTAGGTAATCTTTATTTTCTGCACATGGGAAAGTGAATGATTCTAATTTAGTGATTAATCCTTCTACGATATCGTCGAATACAGTTAAACTTTCACAATACATAAAGTTTTTTTAAGTCGACAATCATCGAAAAAATAACAATATACTTGGCCGGTAGATGGCGCCACCAGAGCGGGGCCCGTCAATAAGAGCTTCACAACCGGCGATTAGTTGCCAGACCTACTAATCCAAGACCGTGGTACAGTCTTGGCTGTACCACTAAGGAATCCGCGTAGAGGGGTGTTATGAGTCCCTCTCCACCTCTTTGAGTGCGAGTACCTTGATCAGTACAGCCAAATCTGTACCACTGCTCACACCGCAGGGTAAGGAGAGGAGGTGTACCAGAAGGTACCAGATACCAGGTTCGGGGATTCAGCGGCGGGATCCTCTAGGCAGCGAAGTTAAATAATTACACTGTAGCGAGAAAATAACGAAAAGCGTAAAAATCGGACGGTGTTCTTATCACTCGCGCTGGATGAGTTCAACAGGTTCGTAATTGACATTGAAACGTGATCATAAGTATACTATGATAGTAAATCACGTAAACTACTGTTACTTAACGGTATTCAAGTTATACCGAACTTGGATATCGTACTTACACAATGTTAAGTCGATAAAAGTGGGTAGGTACCTATACATCATTATTCAGTAGGTACCGCGGACTTCGTTCGTGCGCGTCAGGCCACCAATAGATAGCGCCAGCTATTTCCAAGTTACAAAACATAATTTTTTTAAACTACTAATATTATTATTAATTATATTAGTTATATTGATATTAATAAAGTTAAAAAAGGTAAAAAAAATACAATCGAGTAGGCATCGTAGAAGAAATTGTAGTGTATTTGTGTATCGATACTTCGTGTCGGGCACAGACAGACCATATACCTACTATAAAAAATTATACTCTATATACATACTATATATTAGTGGCGTAATTACCCTTTGTGGGGGGTTTGATTGTCATTTCCCCAGGTATTTTACGTGTACACACATTATTATATGAATCTACTCGAAAAAGTACATTTATAACTTTATTTAAATACCTAGTATAGAATTATTTATTTTCATGTATGCAAGCTTTTATATATATTATGTACTCTACTTACATTATACATTTATACAAATCACAATCGTTGGACTGACAGGTTTTTATGATATAAAGTGTAAACTAAAATTTTTTTTTTTTTTTGGTTGGAGGTGTCTGGGTGTCTCAATCTCCCATCACAAACATAACCAAATTTCGCTACTGCTATATACATTATACTATGATAGTAAATCACGTAAACTACTATTACTTAACGATATTCAAGTCATGCCGAACTTGGATATCGTACTTACACAACGTTAAGTCGATAAAAGTGCGTACCTATACGTCGTTATTCAGTAGGTACCACAGACTTCGTTCGTGCTCGTCAAGCCACCAATAGATAGCGCCAGCTATTCCCAAACCTGCTCGTCTTGTCCTGTTACATCACATAAATTAGGTAATTAGGTTCTAGTAGGTACCCATCACGTCGAGCTTGAGACCTGGTCCTGTAATAATTGATCATACGATTTATTTTAGACGTATTGTATAATTGCGCACTGGATAAAAATCATAAACTTCGGATATAATTAAATGAATGATTAATTAATAAAATAAAATAACGAATAATGATCGATTGGAAATCGAAGTACATAATATAATCGACGATGAGACGATGTGCTATATCCACGCATTTTAATGAACTTTTCAATCCGTACTGCATTTAAAAAGAAATATATTAGAGGTGATAGTTTTTCCTGAGAAGTCATTTTGATTGATATAATACACCGTATTAACCCCCCTAGCTATTTAGGTATTTGTATATAGATACGTCATACATAGCGGGCACATATATACTATTAAACATGATACCTACCTACAGTGGCGTCCCCAGGATTTTTCAATGGGGAGGGGGGGCTTGAAAATTAGTTACATTTTTATTTTGTCCAGTCTAATAATTTCAGACGTTTATTTGAGGTATTTTAAAATGTTTGTAACTTTTCAACTTTTCTGGTAGACAAAATGCTCTGATCATAAGCTTCGATGCCCAGTGTATGTTTTTGGAAGCAAATTGGATCTAGTTGGTACTTTTATTAGGTCAAAATTGAAAATTCTCAGTGCTTTTAAAAATAATTGGAAAAAAAAAATGAAAATTTATTTAAATGTTTGGTGATACAGTCTTCACTTGGATTGTATTTGAATGATTAAATTTTTTTTTTCCTATAAATGTCAATAAAAAATTATTTATCCTGTCAAAAACCTTAAAAATGTCATACGTAAGTTATTTTATTATAGCTAAATAATAAAAAAAATTTTATTAACGATACATAAGCATAGTGTTTGAAAATTTCATGGAATTTAAAAAAATGAAATATTTCATTATTTTGATATATTTTCATAAATCGGACGGTGTTCTTATCACTCGAGGCTGGGTGAGTTCAACAGGTTCGTAATTGACATTGAAACGTGATCATGAGAGTGTTATGATAGTAAATCACGTAAACTACTATTACTTAACGATATTCAAGTCATGCCGAACTTGGATATCGTACTTACACAACGTTAAGTCGATAAAAGTGCGTACCTTTACGTCGTTATTCAGTAGGTACCACGGACTTCGTTCGTTGCCACCAATAGATAGCGCCAGCTATTCACAGACCTGCTCGTCTTGTCCCGTTACACCACATAAATTAAGTAATTAGGTTCTAGTAAGTATCCATCACGTCGAGCTTGAGACCTGGGGGCCAATTCTTGAAATCATACGACTAATTCTCGCATGTGATAAAACTCATAGATTTTATCGCAGGTGACTAATTTTATTCGCATGCGACTTAAAATTGGTATTCTTGAACTAAATCGATAAGATTTTATCACTTGTCGAATTCGATAAGGTAAATCGAATGAACCACTATGGTAACAACACAAAATCTAGATTTAACCTCAAACAAATTATAGAACTTAAAAATATTAACAATTAATGGTTGCGGCTGTTGTCTAGTATCACACTAAGTCACTAATACTAATCGTCTAATCCTATCTCATAATCTCATTCTATTACCAATATTGTGTTTTGTGTAGTTACTTTTTGTTTTTATACTTACTACTTAGTAAGTTTTGTACTTGTAATTTGTTGTTTTTACTTGTAAGCACTAAGCAGAATGTCAAGATCTCGACCCTCCCAAAATCAAATGAAACTTTTGGTTGAACTCATGGCCAAAGATCCCCAATTGTGTTCCGGCAAATTTACACCATCGTTTACTCATAAAATAGCGAGAGAGAAATGGGAAAATATAACAGTGCAAGTAAATTCGTTGCCAGGAGCCCAAAAGAGTTGGGATAAATGGAAAAAAGTAAGTTTCTTCTTCTTATACGTGTTTGACAATATTATGAGTAATTGTTGTAGAATACTAATGCCCATCTGCATAGTTAATGTACGTGTCACATAAATTGACTATATATACGGACATATCTGTATTTTTTTCTTTGTAGTCATGGCAAGATACTAGATCAACCACCAAAACTAAAGCGGCAGCTATAAAACGTCATATATCGGGTACCGGCGGAGGTCCACCTTGTACCATTGAATTAAGTGAAATTCAAAAAGACGCATTACATTTAATGAGTCAAACATCTATAAGTGGCCACATACAATCATCAGAATCACTTGTTGACTTTGACTTTAATGATGTTTCTACAGAAATTGTATTAATTGGTAAATTTGTAAAATGAGTTATTAAATATTCATTGAATTGAAAAATTATAGTTTTAATAATGTGCTCTATTTAGGTGGCAATGAACTATGTAATGAATCAAAGTGGATTACGGAGTCAAGTTCTGATAACATTAATTGTATGTATTACAAATTTGGTTATTCAATGTTTACGTTTTTACCAAATTCTCATTAATTGTTATATTATTATAGTTTCTAATGAGAATGAAAATATTCAAATGCCATCATCCAATGCTCCTAATCCAAGTAATATTCTTACACATGTATAATTCACTTTTAATAAGAAATATAAACAAATAATTGACTTGAATCTTTAAAATGTTTGTATTATAGTTTCTAATGAGAATGAAAATATTCAAATGCCATCATCCATTGCTCTTAAACCAAGTAATATTCTTACACATTTATAATTCACTTTTTATAAGAAATATAAAAAAATAATTGACTTGAATCTTTAAAATGTTTGTATTATAGTTTCCAAAGAAAATGAAAAGATTAAAATGAAAATATCATCAGATGTTGCTCCTAAAACAAGTAATATTTTCACAGATTAATCATTCATATAACACTTTTATATTAACATAGGTATATACTTATTACCTACCCTACCTATATTATTTAGTGAGGTACAGTGACTAAAATTGTGTATAACACAACACACATTATGTAATACAAAATGCTAATTAATAGCCTATATATAGTATATATGTTACTTTTATTTTTAATTGATTGATTCATATGATATTTATACATAATCATATTGAAATTTTTTAATCAACAAAATCTATTTTGTTGGAATGAAATGCATAGGTTGTTATATACCAGTTGAGATGTATGTAAGATACACAGGGACAATTTTATTGTATAGTTATTTTAAGTTCATATTTTGATAAAATTAGATATTTAAACAACGAATACCGATTCTAGTTAATTTGTTGTAATCCAAGCCTATTAAAGTAGATTATTATATTTTGTAAACACTATAACATTCTCAAATGTAATTTTTTAGGAATAATTTTATAGTACATTTATTCTATAAATAATAAAACTCAATGATTTTATATGATTACTAGATCTAAAAAGAAAAGCTAATGTTGCATTCGGGTTAGGGGAAAGCAATAAAGCTGCAACTCGTTTAGGAGACATCTCAGAAAGGAAGTGCGATATGAAGGAAAAATACTATGGAAAAAAACTTAAACTTTTAGAAGAACAAAATACTATATTTAAAAACATAAATACATTACTCACTACATTTATGAACGATAGATCTCTTTAAAAAAATGTATTAGTATTAATGTTTTAGTTTCTTTGTTATAAAGTCCAACTAAGTCAGGAAAAGGCTGTTTATTTTTATTATTATATATTTTTATTTAAAATTAACCAATTATGATTTAATGTTACAAGTATGGACAAAAAAGTGTTGAATTAATTTTTTTTATCTAAAAAAATGTATGTTATTAAGAAATGTATTATAATTTGTTATAAAGTCAAACTTAGTCAGGAAAAGGCTGTTTATTTTTATTATTATATATTTTTATTTAAAATTAACCAATTATGATTTAATGTTACAAGTATGGACAAAAAAGTGTTTAATTAATTTTTTTTATCTAAAAATATGTATGTTATTAAGAAATGTATTATAATTTGTTATAAAGTCAAACTTAGTCAGGAAAAGGCTGTTTATTTTTATTATTATATATTTTTATTTAAAATTAACCAATTATGATTTAATGTTACAAGTATGGACAAAAAAGTGTTTAATTAATTTTTTTATCTAAAAATATGTATGTTATTAAGAAATGTATTATTATTTTATATAATTTGTTATAAAGTCAAACTTAGTCAGGAAAAGGCTGTTTATTTTTATTATTATATATTTTTATTTAAAATTAACCAATTATAATGTAATGTTACAAGTATGGACAAAAAAGTGTTTAATTAATTTTTTTATCTAAAAATATGTATTATTATTTTATTTCCTTGGTCCTTGTTATTATTCTACAGAGAGGAAAAACAAAGATTTTCAATGAAAAGTAAAAGTATATTAGATCACAATATTAATAATATTATTATACTACATCATTTCTATTAAATAAATATTGTACAACTCTATCCCTCTGTTTTCTTCCTAGTGTTAATTCTATATTTCGATTGTTGATATTATGATTATCATCTAATATTGCATCATCTTCTATCATACCCAAATTATTAATCTCATCTTCATCCTCATGCAATGGAACATTGTTGGCGATACAGATATTGTGTAAGACTATACACGCATTAATTATCAATGATGCTTTTTCAGGCTTATAGTGCAAAGTTCTATCTTTTAGTAGACACCTAAAGAGCATAATCATATAGGTACATACTGGAATCTAAAATGAAATTAAAAGAAATGTTACCGAAATCGCATTTTTAGGACTCCGTTACATCGTTCAATAATGCTCTCCTGCTTGACATTTGTCTCTGGTTATAATAGATTTCTGCATTTGTTGTAGGATTAGCAATTGGCGTCAGCAGCCATTGGCGCAATGGATATCCAGAATCTCCTAATATTTTTTTTAAAAAAACATAAAAATACTCTACCTAATTACTATAAACTAAAACTCAAATATTAAGTTACTTTATTTAGTAACTAAAGTTGTAGTTATTTTTATAAATTATTGTCAATCAGCAAGGAGAGCATGATAAAAATCTAACCTAATAAAAAAAAATCTTTGTGATTACGCCTGTGTAGTTCTTGAAGTGTTTGTAAGATTGAGCTATTATTCCAAACGTGGATATCATGCGTACTTCCAGGAAAAAGTGCATTTACGTTCAAAATGTTGAGTTTTGAATCACAAATCTAAAGACGAGTGTGTAAATATTTAGAAATTAAATTACAATCATTGCTATATACTTATATAAATTTAACTATAAATCCGTTTTAAAAGATTACCAATTGAACATTAATTGAGTGATAACCTTTGCGGTTCACATAAATATACTCTGGATATTGATTTTCATTTAGATTTAAGTTAGTTGATGGAGGTACGATTGCCACATGAGTGCAGTCAACACAACCAATAATACCTGGAAATCCAGTTTCTTTGTAAAACCTTAATTATTGAACAAATTAAAAACAATATTAACAAACTATTTGAAAAATACCTAAACTGAAAATTAAGTAATTACTCATTGCGTATTTCAGAGAGCTCACTCAAATTTTTAGGAAATCTAACCCATGCTTGAAATATCTCAGGCAGATTTAGTGCTGCCACAACTTCACTTATACATCGGGATACAGTTGGTTGTGACAGCACCATCAATTTGCTGTTACCAATAGGAGATTGGTAACAGCCCGTCGCCAAAAAATTCAAAGTAGAAAAAATCTAAATAATAAATAAATCATAAATTAGGTACAAACAATAGGTGTTCAATTTTAAAATTATCTAAAATCAGGTAAAAATCACCAAAATCACTTTTAAGTCTAAATGACAATATGTAGGTATTTACCTTAGTGTTTAAATCAATCGCAGACGAACGGGTGTTAGATATTATATGAGGCCTTAATAAATCAATTAAATATCTAACAGCGTCTTTAGTCAGTCTAAAGTTTTTGATAAATAACCGATCAGACAATGTAAACGGGTCAGTAATGTATTCTCTATTTCTCGTCTGTCTTTCATTATGAACATAATTTGCATGTTCCTCAACGTTATTAATGGCAAAGAACATTGCCATTTCTTGAAAATTTGCCATTATTAATTATTATTATTTATTAGTGCAAATTAGGTAATAAAAAGTTGAATACACAAATTTAATATTTTAAGTAAAGTTGTTATAATTTTAAAATTATTAATTGATTAGGTAGGTATTGATATGGCATTTCATAAATTATCATGCGATATAAGCTTGTCACCGACTTTTTACCAGTCGACAAATAGTCGAATGTTTTTCGTTCGACTAAAGTCATACCATAATTCAAGAATACCAATTATTTATTTTCATGCGATAAAAATTTTATCGCATGCGACAAAGTTTATCACGATTTCAAGAATTGGCCCCCTGGTCCTGTAATAATTGATCATACGATTTATTTTAGACGTATTGTATTATCGCGCACTGGATTAAAATCCTAAACTTCGGATATAATTTGAATGAATGAATGAAATAAAATAATGAATAATGATCGATTGGACGCGAAATCGTTATAGAGTATAGACCAGGGGTCACCAATTAATATTTTCCGCGGGCCACATTAAGAATTCGGAAAATTCTCGCGGGCCATAAAAATTCAAAGTACAGTAGAACTTCGATTAACCGTCACTCGATTAACCGTCACTCTCTGTTATCCGTCATCGGTCACCGCCGAAAAAAAAAATAATTAGACGATCGCGATAAACTCGTGCCCAACACAGTAACTATCAAGTGCTACAAAATGCTACGCAAGTCTTACTTCTACGTCAAATACGTAATATTGCTGCTAAAAAAGCTAGAGAATCAAAAAAACAAACTAAAATGAGAGATTTTTTATTATAATGTGTGTGGTATGTATGTTTATAATTTGTTACAATGTAAGTATTTTTTTTTTTTTTAAAGTACACACGTAAAATATGATAAATATATAATATAAATATAAAATATAATAAATGTGTGTATGTATATGTATTTACACGTTTTTTTTTGCAAAATTTCCGTTAACCGTCTATTCGATTAACCGTCATAGCCCCGGTCCCGACAGTGACGGTTAATCGAAGTTCTACTGTATATAATATTTTGTTATAATATGCCGGTTGGTCAAAAATACTTTTTTTGTAAAAAAAAATATATAGGTACACTTTTAATTATTATGTAACTAAAACTAATGAAAATATAATTAAATTAAATAAATATAGGTATGAAACAATTATTAATTAATATTTTTAATGAGAAAAATGGCAGATCTTACTTTCAACTAGCTGCTTTAAGTCGGGGTTATGGTTTGTGGTAGCTATCTTCATCATCATTTCAAGGTGTTCGTTGGTGAGTCGTGATCGGAATTTGTTTTTGATATAATTCATTTTTGAAAAAGCAGACTCACAGACGTATGTGGAGCCAAACATTGTACACATTTTCACTGTCAATAATTTCAACGTCGGGTATTTCTTTTCAGATACATATTTCAACCAAAATTCATCATATTATGTAGAATCAATTTCAGTTTTTGAATACTTTTCATTATACAAATTTTTTAGGACATCATCTGATTGAAATTCAATTATTTCCATTTGAAGATGTGCTCTGTTGCATTTGAAAACATTTTCTGCTTCGTTAATCCATTCACCATCAGGCTGCAGAGTAAAACTACTGTTCAATAGTTGTACAAGGTTTTTGATTTTTCTGAAATCAGCAAAGCGTCTTTCGAATTCAGTTTTTAAACTTTCCAAAAACTTCGTAAAATTTGTGATATCAATCTCGTGATATTCATCAACAACTTTTTACGCCGAAAAAACCTAAAAATGCAGTAATAATGTACAAAGATAAGAAATTACCTGCAACATTTCGACTGCAACAGTCGCGCTTGATAATAAGTAGGTACGTATTAAATTATTGGATTTTTCTCTCAGTCTGCGGGCCGGTTAAAATGCATTCGCCTGGTATAGACCATAGATGTATATTATTAAATTGTATTAATTATATTAATATTAATAAAGGTAAAAAAGGTAAAGAAATACAATCGAGTAGGCATCGTAGTGTATAGTAAGCAAGTTACTACCTAACAATAATAAGAATATATTGTATTAAAATTTATTTATTATTAGGTATACATTTTTATTATACATTTTCACTATTATATCTAATTAATCTATGTGGTGTGCACACCTAGGCACGAGCCGCCACTGTACTATATTATAGTACCTAAATCATATATAGGTACCTACCTATGTGTGACTATGTACGTATATCATTTAATTAATTATGTGATGTTGCGTTTTGCGCAGATATTGGTAAGGTAAATCCAAATGTATTTTTAAGTTTTAAAATACAAATTTATTAACGAACAGAGGCAAATAAAAGAAGATGGACGAATTTCAAGACATGAATTTTTGAAAAAAAGTATGTTTTAAGAATAAACGACAAAATGTTAATTAGGTACCTACTTACCTATTGTATTATTATTTTATTAAAAAAAAAATGTTTTTTTGATTTTACGATCACTATACGATCTTAATAATTTTTAGTAATAATAATTGGTTTTTGATTATACGTACATTACAATCTCTTAAAATAATTTTTAATAATAATAATATTTTTCAATTTTAAAATTGGTTTTTCCTTTATTTTTCGCCTAAAACTCTATGAGTGTCTAGAAGTTCTATTGAGTATAATATTATAGGTAATGTTCATGTTACAAGATAGGGTACAAACTACAAACGTTATCGATCATGAAGTTAAGCCACGGATAAAATACGCATTATAGCTGTCATAATACTGTAGTAAGCAAGTTACTACCTAACGATAAAACCAATTCCACAGGTACACAATTAGTATAATATACTGTAGATCGGCATAAATCGGATATTAGAAACGGAAATAGGATTTCCTACTGGTTAACATAAGGAGACAGGCTCACTGAATAATATAATGACTCGGGAAGCACTGTACACGACGATATTCAAATATAAAATATAAAAGAGTAGAATGATTATTTTAATGAAATAGACCATAGATTGACATTTTAGTAATACGCAGAATTATATTGGGAAGTCATAAAATGCGTGGGCTGGAACGATGACCACACAAATCACATCCGTGAGCCGAGATACAGTATCCATAGGCAGTCCTGTAAAGAATACTTTTGAAAAGTACTTGAGTAAGTACTCAAATACATTTTTTTTAAGTATTTAAGATACTACTCAAATACTTTAATTGTATAGTATTTCAAATACTACTCAAATACTTTTCAAATACTTTTGGTTTTTAAAGTGGGTTTCTAATTACCTATTGTAATATAGACACATAGGTAGTAAATTTATAATCATTTTTATTTATTAAATAAATGTTTATTACATTTTTTTTTTTTATTTTTACATGAAATTTACAATCTGTTCTTAACTAGAACAATAAGCAAATGTGCATAGGGTATTTGCGTATGATTTCTTTTTGAGGGAAGAAACCACCCATTGGTGATACTACCTATTTTGTGTTCTTAATTTATTCTAAAATTTCTAAAATTATTTCGAATAAAAATAAAATGTTCGAAATAAAAAACCAAAGTATTCAATGCCAAAAAGTATTTAATACAAAAAAAGTATTTAAAATACCATTCAAAATACTTCATGCTGAAAGTATTTAAAAAGTTATTCAATACTTAAAAAAATATTTGAATACTTTTACTCAAATACTTTACAGGACTGTCCATAGGCAAGGGGTACGGGGAACCTCATATATAAGGGAGCCCGAATCGGCCTGTATTCAGACGTGTACTACCACCCATTAGTGCAAGCACCTTCACGCCACTCTGTACAATATTATTTTGGACTTGGTAAAATTATCCAAGTGTAATAATAAAACTCACAATATTATATTATACAACAACTGTTCTCTTATTTATTTAACAACCACGACTACAACCAGTGGCGTAGCCAGGATTGTGAAATGGGGGGTGTTTAAGTATAGATTAAAACCAAGTTTTTACAGTTTTCGTATATAAATAAATTTAGAGTTCGGGACTTGACTTGTTGCACTAAATATTATCGAAATATGATGCAGTCAAAGTTGTCAAAATATTCTTAAATACAAACAGCTCTATTTTTATATTATTTTTTGAAAAATTCATAAAACATACTACAATTTTGGTAATAAAAAACTAAAAAATAAGTAGGTATATAAATAATTTATACACCGGCTTACTAATTTTAATATAGATAGATATACTATATTGATTAATGTGATGGACGGAGTACACTATTGCATGTTTTGGACATTTTTAAACTATTGTGAAATAAAACAACTTGATTATTAAAAATACTGGAATAAAATACTAGGTTAAATGTTAATAAATATGTAAATAATAAAGAATAACGTGATATGCGAACACCGTAATAAACGAACACGTATATCTACTGATTTTCATTTCTTCGTACGATCTAGAATGTAGATGTCAATTATAGTTTTAACAGTCTTGTCACAAAGAGACTTATAAAATCTTACATGCCATAACTATGCGAAAATAGGGCAAACGCAAACCGTATTGCCAAGCTCCACCAACAACTTTAACAGCCCTCTCAATCATTTAGGTACTACATTTTTTTAATTCAATTTTATAATAGACAAAAGTATGGTTTTAGGCTTTGGCCTCCCCAAATCTCAAAATTAGAGCCTATTGTACCTCACCAAACATAATATTTATAAAGATATTTTTCAATGTTATCCAAATATGATTTTTCCCGACAATTGTATGTACCTACATTTAAGTTAGAAAAATGCAAAATATGCATTAATATGCGAAAATCGCTCAAATGTACACTTTTTCTAAAATATGCAAATTCAAACTTTGTTTGATTAGACATTTAAAAAATTTCATAAGACAAATTTATAACTTATCTAAAATAATGCGAGGAGTCCCAAACCCTATAAACAATATTTTTATTAGGGAGGAAAATGTCAATGGGGGGTGTTTGAACACCCAAAACCCCCCCTGGCTACGCCACTGACTACAACATCGGAAGAAGTGTCTGCGACCTGTACATTAACTTACTGGTAGCCACTTATCTACT